TAAAAGCACCCCTGGGTTTGCATACCCTGTAACTTTTGGTCAAGACTGCACATTATTTTTTTTCTTTTTGAGACAGGGTCTCACGCTGTCACCCTTGGTAGAGTGCCACAGTGTCACAGCTCACAGCAACCTCCAACTCTTGGGCTTAAGTGATTCTCTTGCCTCCGCTCCCAGGTAGCTGGGACTACAGGCACCTGCTACAACACCTGGCTATTTTCTTATTGCAGTGTCATAGTTGTTTTAGCTGGCCTGGGCCAGGCTCGAACCCACCAGCCTCAGTGCATATGGCTGGCACCATAACCACTGTGTTACAGGCACCAAGCCTAGTCTGCACGTTATTTTTATTGCCACAGTATTGGATTTTAGGGTTTTATTTTCTCTGATCAAACCACATCCATGAAAGAGAATTAGTACAAAGCTTACCAGCCTTAGCTCTGACAAGAGGAACATTCACCACCCTAATGAAATATAAGAGCACATCATTCCATTATCATTCCTCTTCAGAACAATGTTGACGTTGAGCTGCATGTCCAGTACATGAAACTCAAATATTCATTAGCTAAAGCTTTGTATTAAGCAGCATGAAGAAGAATATTTCATGGAAAGTTAAAGGGCACATTTTTGTACCACCTTTTTCTTCAAAGTTGCAGATGTATGAAATTAAGAGGTTTCACATTAAAGATATGTTGAAATCACCACAAAGAAAAGGCAAATCTTGATGAGGCAGGACTTGAAGACAGAGCAGAGATGGACTCTTTCTAGAGGTTTGAATGCTCTTCTTGGACACCAGAGCCCACCAGTTATCCCTTTAGGGATCACTAAATAGCTAAGTTATTTAGAGTTAAACGAGTTACTTAGCTCATTCTCTGAGAGAACCATTGCCATACCATCCTATATCTCCTCCAAATAAGGACACAGATTATCTTCTAACAGGACTTCTCGGGATAACCTCAACTACACTGCCCACCCCTTCTCTGAAGGAAATCTACCACCTACCACAGAGGAAGTATGCTCCCTTGCTGGACAGCTGGAGAGCTCTGCTTGGAAACACCAACCCCATCCATATTGTTAAGTGTCGGGTGGTCAGTCTGCCAGGATCTGCCGCAGGACTTGAGAGCAGCAGCCTGCAGAGTTGTGAACCAAACAGGACAAAGGTAGCAAAGGCTAAGGAAAATCATAGTACCAAGGGTGATAATGCCAGTGGCATGAGTGAGTTACAATGGCTAGGCTGAAAGAGAAAGGCAGAGTGGGCTGGGGAGGGTGGGAGCTCTCAGGGCCTTGGGCAGCACAGCAGGGAGTCTGAGTGTTAACGGAGGCCATGGCTTTCCAGGGAAGGGTTTCCAGCAGCAGAGAGACAGGTCAGACATCTGCTCTGGGGGGGCTGCCCCAGCTGTCACGTAAGAGAGGCACTGAAGGCAGAGTCAGCAGCCAGGTGCCCAGGTAGGAGGCAAACACCAGGACCTTTAGGCAGATCAGAAGAGTGTAGGGAAATCAGGGCCCAGAATTCAGAGTGATCATCTCAATGGCACTTGGAGATTTAATGGGCGATGAAAGTAAAAACCACACATCCCATGTTCTAGACCAGGGCTCTCTTAACGTGTTGTCACAGACCTGTCCAGGAGATATGTGGGCTCTGTGTTTTTTCATTTCTTTGCCTGAAACATGGGGGTGACAACATCAACTCCTATTGTGAGGAGTAGAGAAGTTGGGGTGACAACTCCCGGGCAGGGCCTAGAACAGAACAGTGGGCAACACGTGTGCATTATGGACAATAGTTTAAAACAGCACAGTCGTTTTCTTTTTCACCACCACCCTCCATGAGAACTTCTCCCTCTCCCCTGAATGTGTATTGATTTCAGGAAGTGTCCGAATCGGTATAATTGGTGAGCAAAGAAAAAAAAATACTCTGTGTTCAGCATCTGACTTCCAAACTTGGATTTTGAATTCTATAACAATAATTGTCGCAAACAGGCTTAGTTGTGAGGGAGAAGAAATTTGTAAATTCCTACATGGCCCCTTCAGATATCAATGGCTAAGTCTGACCACCAGACAACAGAAACACGTCAGGCCCTGAGGACAGGGGTCTCTGTTTCATTCACTGCTGAATTCCCAGAGCCTGGAACTGGGACTGGCCCTTCGTGGGTGCTCATTATTGTTTGTCGGAAGGAGAAAAGTGGTGTATTCTGCAGTGTAGACAGGCAGGTCCTAGTTCATGAGGGAATCTCCTTCCAGAGACAAAGGTCATGTGGACAGCCTGCCTCCTCCAGCAAAAGAGATCCAGGAAGGGCAAGGCAAAGGATTCAGAGGGTCCTCACTCATCAGGGAGAGGACTTGAAGCAAACCCAGCGTCCTTCCTCTGGATGACAGGGCCCTCTGGCTGCACAGTCAGCCTACAGGCCTCCCACATGGGAGGGTGCCCTTTCTACAATGGGATGGCCTGTAAGGGTTAACAAGAATTCTAACGAGAATTCTAATCTCCTGCAAGAGGAAGTGCTTCAAGGAAACCATAAATAAGACCAGAGACAGTAAAAGCTAGTCTTTTATCATTATTCCTACATCCGCATAGCCCCCTGCCCACCTATGTTATTCAACCTATCCTGTACTTAAAGCTACATTCCTTACCTTATTTAGTTATACTGTGATATATTGCCCCTCCCCACCAACTAACCCTATATAAATTGTGTTTTTCCCTAAAATAAACAGCTTCGGCTCAGTCCCTTCCCCAGTGTGTCTGTCTTTGTCTTCTTTGTCTTTTCCTTTCATACGCCGCCGACTCCCCAAACTGCCGCCGCCCGCCGGTCGGGAGGCGGCAATGGCCCTGGTGGGGAGAGAAGTTAGTGCTGCAGCCCTACTTATGGAAGCCAGAGAATTCAACCAAGAGTCCCTTCTCTGCCCTCAGTGTCCTGGGGCTGGGGAGTCCTTCAGGAATCCTTTGGATTAGATACCAAGGTAAGGTGACAAAAAAATTTTAAAGGTTGAGCTAGACAAGATGCAGTGGTTTACACCTGTAATCCTACCACTCCGGGAGGCTGAGGCAGGTGGATCACTTGAGCTCAGAAGTTCGAGACCAGCCTGAGCAAGAGCAAGACTCTGTCTCTGCTAAAATTGAAGCAAAACAAAACTAGCACCCTGGGAGGCCATGGCAATGGATTGCTTGAGCTCAGGAGTTCAAGTCCAACCTGAGCAAGAGCAAGAGCCCATCTCTACTGAAAAAAAAAAAAAAGCCCAAGAGTTTGAGGTTGCTGAGATGATGCTGTAGCACTCCATTCAGGACCACAGGCTGAACTGTCATGTGTGTATTTCAGATGCTACCACATGTGGTCATTTCTTTGCCTACCCCTTCATAAAGGATGCAGATGACAGGCCCTCCTACTCCCTGACCTCAGAGAAACAAGATATTAGGAGGTTCCTGGGCAAAATTCACAACTTGGATCTGGTCTTGACACTTACTTGACACCTGCCCTGGGGCAGGTTTTTAATTATGTTTGTGTCACAAAATCCTTTAGCATCCTGGTGAGGTCCATAGGCCCCTTCTCTGAGCATAGACTTTAAATTCATCAAATAAAATACTAGGATTACAAGGAACACCAGCGATCCTGAAATAAGTATCAAAATCATTGTAAACATCTGTCATATAATGACACATATACTTCCTAACTATTAAATAATTAGATCTAGGGACAGGTCTATAACTATTAGTATTTCAAAGTTGTGACTGGGCATGGTCACTTGCACCTGTAATCCGAGCGCTCTGGGAGGCTGAGGTGGGAAGATCACTTGAAACCAGAAGTTCAAGACCAGTCTGTGCAACATAGCAAGACAAAATATTTTCCCCAGGCTACAATCAAAGAAGAAAAAAGACAAAACAAATTAAAAATTAGCTGGGCAAGGTAGCACATGCCTATAGTACGAGCTACTCAGAAGGCTGAAATGGGAGGATGACTTGAGCCTGGATGTTCAAGGTTACAGTGAGCTATGAGGATGCCACTGCACTCCAGGTTGGGTGACAAAGCAAGACTCTGTCTCAAAAATAATAAAAAGCTGGGTACAGTGGCTCACGCCTGTAATCCTAGCATATTGAGGCTGAAGCAGGTGGATTGCTTGAACTCAAGAGTTTGAGACCAGCCTAAGACAGAGAGAGACCCTTTCTCAACTAAAAGTAGAAAACCTAGCCAGGCATTGTGGTGTGTGTCTGGAGTCCCGGCTACTCAGGAGGCTGAGGCAAGAGGGTTGCTTAAGCCCAAGACTTTGAGGTTGCTGTAAGCTATAAAGCCATGGCACTCTACCAAGGGGAACAAAGTGAGACTCTGTCTCAAAAAACTAATAACAATTATTATTATTATTCCTGAAACCAGGTAATGGGAAGAGCTGATGAAGGAGGGGCAGGTGGTCCAAGCAGGAGCATGCATCGTGTGGGCCCAGGACTCCTAAATCAGCATCCTGAGTGCAGATTTGGGGGCCAGGACCAGACTGACCAATTCTAATGCCCAATGTTAGTCCTGGGAATCTGCATTTTAAACAGAAGCCCAAGTGAAAGCTTCATAAACATCCTAGAATTTCTCTGGTGCTTTGTTCTAATCAGGGACTCAAGACAGTGAGAAAGAGCCCTGGGTTGCTCCTCACACCTCCCGGGCTGGAGTGCAAGTGGCATCATTGCACCATTGCTGGGAGATGAACCGGCAGCTGTTGGCCCTTCCAGGGCCCCTCATGTATAAGTGATGCCTGAAACGTGAGGCCATACCGCCTTTGCGCAGGGAAACCCGAGCAGAGAAGTGTGTGGCCGGATTGATGGGCTGGGAACCTACTGCCTCCTTCCCTGTCTCTCTCCCAAACCTCACCCACCTCCACACCCAATTTCAAGCAACGCAAGGAGCCCTGGTGCCACAGGAGCCCAAGCAGGGAGGCCAGCACCATGAGGGCAGGAAAGCACCCCAGGTTGGAGGCATGCCTAGGCAAGCCAGCTTCGTGAGCCTGTGCAGGAACCAAGAGCCCTGCTGACCATGAGCCGCCAGTCAAAGGGCCTGGAAGAAGGTGAGTCCCTGTCCTTATCTGTGTGGGGCCCACTCATGGGGATCCTGGGATGTGGTCTCGAGAGGCATAGGGAGGATCAGGGTTACAGGACCTCGGTCTGGACGCTCAGCCTCTCCCACCTCATGCATGAGATGAAGGTGGTGGTCACTACCTTTCAGGGCTATGGGAGACATTCAAAGCCACCAAGCAGTGCACAGTTCCAGCTGCAGTGCTGGTGTTAACAAGAGTCCCGAGGCTACACTGGGCAGCAGCTCCTTGCTCTTCAGAACCTGCCATGGTCTAGCCTCCTGTGTCTTGGTAGAGTCACTTTTCCCTAGCAGTCCCCTCAGCAGATTTGTCTGCCTGTCTACAGCAGAGGGGTAGAGGGATGTCCTATCCTCAAGACTCAGGCTGTCAGAGAAATGTCACAGGCTGGAGACTCTGGAGTTTGCCCACTAAAATAATTGGGGCTGAGTTCCACAATCAGCTGAGGCAGCCACAAACCAACTGAAGGTTCCCACGGTAATCTGGAGTGGTGCAGGGATGGGGGAACTCTCCAGAGGTCAGCCATTTGTCCTGGTTCCTGTCTTCCAGCCCGAGGTGGAGCCAAAGGACGGGCAAGGAGCGGCTCTCCACGCACAGGTGAGATGGGTGGCCAGTCACAGACAGCCTGTAGCACCTGGCTCACCTCTGCTGGCCCCCACAGCCAGGCCCTCTCCCTCCCCACTCCCCCTCATTCAACACCCTGCATGGGGCCTTTGTGGGAGCAGGTGTTGTCACTGGGGAGGGGGCAAGTGCCACACAGAGAGGGCCTGCTGCTCAACCGCTGGTGAGGGGGGACCCCAGAGTTGGGATCATTTTGAGGTGAGCCTTGGGAATCAGTGAAGTTCCTCATACCCAGGAACGTGGCCTTAGCTCTTTTGTGAGCCAGTGAGGGAGCTGACCTGCTCCAGGAGAAACTGAGAATTAGAAGAGGCCGTGGGAGGAAAGAAAACCTTTGGCTGCCCCTGAGGGCTCAGAAGATAGGGCAGAAGCCACACCCACAGGCTAAGGGCCCTACTTCCTGTCACAAAACATCATAATGTGATGCCATTGTCTCCTTGTCACATTCCAGGCAGGGCTGGGCCCTGCACCTGCCTGTAGGTGAGGAAGCAAAATCTCAGGGGGCACGACGCTGGGGGGGGGGGCGGTTAGGAGAGATCTCCCACTATTCTGAGAGCTGGGAGTGGAGGAGTCCCAGAGTCCACCTCATCTGCCCCTCTGCCAAGCCCTTCTCCTGCCATCCCTAACCCTAACCCACTGCGCTCCAATGGGCCAGCCCTGAGTCCTCCACAAGGCAGCTCCACAACATGGGGAGAGACTCAGGAGCAAGAGGCGGCCAGGAGCTGGGCAGGAGGGTGACTAAGGATGTGCCTCTGGGCTCTCAACAGCTCTCCTGCCCCCACCTGCCTTCTCCCACCCACCAACCTTTCCACAAAGACATGAGAACTCCCTGTGCCCTGAGGTGGCCACATGAGAAGCCCCTTCCTCACCGGTGGTGGGGGGAGTGGATGGGTGGGGACTCCTTTGATGAAGGCTGACCCCCACATCCCTTTCTCCTTGTGTCATCCAAGTGTCATCCTCTCCACACCCAAACTGGCATCCTTCCCTCGGGGCTGAAGGGGTTGGGCCTGTGAGAGTCACCTGTGGGCAAACATTCCTGGGGTAGGACCAAAATGGAAGGTCATTTGCCTAAAACACAAACCCTTTCCTACTAAAGTACTCCCCTCCCTGCTGTCATTGTCCCTTTCCCTTGGAAAATAGGAAATGGGTCAGAATTTTCACTTCAGGAATCCAAAGGGTCAAGGAATGCAGTGAGGTGAAATATTGGTAATCCATTAAATTAACTGACATGACCTCAAGACTTCCATTTTTTTTTTTTTTTGAGACAGTCTCACTTTGTCTCGCCCTCAGTAGAGTGCTGTGGTGTCACAGCTCACAGCAACCTCCAGCTCTTGGGCTAGGGTGATTCTCTTGCCTCAGCCTCCCCTCCCGAGTTGCTGGAACTATAGGCGCCCGCCACAACACCCAGCTAGTTTTGTTGCAGTTGCTATTGCTGTTTTTTAGCTGGTCAGGGCCAGGTTCGAACCTGTCACCCTCCTTATATGGGGCCGGCCCCCTCCCTCCCCACTGAGCCACAGGCACCGCCCACTAAAGATTTCCATCTTAAATCTCTACAGTCACTTCTGAGGGGTCCTGATATCCTATTCCTTCAGTTCATACTCAACAAGGGGAAAAATAGTCTGAGAACACAGACTTCTTTTCTCAAAATATTTTGGTTTACTACTCCATTTGTTAGAAGGAAGAAAGTGTGCGCTCCCTCCTCCTGTGTCACTCGGTTAACGCCCTGAACTGTCCAGCTCTCCCGAGTGGAGGTTCTGCCACCTGCTTATCCTCAGTCTGTCTGCTGCTCCCCAAATCCCCTGAGTCAAGGGCACATGCACAGGGAGGCCCGTGATGTTTACAAGTGTGTGCTGGGCTCCGAGGTCTTCCTAGCAAGACAGCTGCCCTTCCAACTCCTAAATTATGCATCAGGTGGCATCCATGGAAAACTGACTGTGGAAGGGGGGAAAGCAGCTTGTTTTCTGTGTAGAAGAGGTTTAGGGAAGGTTGAAGGACAAATTCTAGCTTGTTTTCCACATTGCACGTGAGTTTTGTTCAGATCAAGAATGAGATTACCTTAGGAATTACAGCTTGGAAAAAAATTGTAACCCCCAAGTTATATCTACGAGGCTTGGTAGATTGCTTGGCATACTCCGTTACCACACTAAAAGCAATTTATTAGCTGATTGAGGACACATAGTGAGTCCAGAAGAGAATGCAAACATCCTCGGGCTTTCTTCCCCAGGCCTTTCAAGCAATATGAGCTGGTCTTTATAGAGGGGCCCAGGAGACCCTTTTCCTTGGTCCCTTGCCTTGGTTTCTGCTTCTCTGCCCACTCTGAGAGCTCGGCTCAGCCCCGGAGCTCTCCTGGGGGTCCCAGCTCTGATATTTGTTTTGCTTCATCATCTTCCAGAGCCTGGGGCATTTACAGGACCAACTCATCTTTCACGGGCTAATACTAACCAGCCTCCTACCCTGATGAGTTCTATTACACTAAAATAGTCTTTCCTTACATTGTCTCACCAAATCCCCTTTTCCATGGGGAGTGAGGAGGAGGAGAAGAAAGAGATTGGGGCAAGAGTGGGTGTTCTTGGCCCACTCCTGCAAAAAGCACTTGTCACCTGAAAAATGAGGTTCATACATTTGGAAAAGAGCTTTATTTCTCACAGCGGGTTGTAGCATGCAGGCTGGCAAGTGCAGCCCCAGAAGCTCAACCTCACGCAGATAAGCCAAGGGCAAACAGTTTCAGGGAGAGGTAAAGGAAATAGAAATTTATGCTGAGCAGTGTGGCTGACTATACATATTTAATACAATATAGGAGGAGAGTGTTTATGAAAGAATGTGCATACCCAACTGAGCTTCATGCTCCTCCGTAGGTTCCAAGTACAAAAAATGGCAGTGTGAGCCTGAACCGAGGGTGGAGTTTTCATCCCTCTGACATCAAAGGCCAACTGCCCTGTGGTCAGCGGTCTCTAGAAATGTCGGTCATCTCCTGTGTCAAAATCTCAAAAAAGGAGGTGTAGCATTAGGCAGTGGTTGACAACAGCAATGGAGCAAGTCTTTCTAAAGGGCTGGTTTCTGTTTAACCCTTAGGAAAGAAAGACTACTAACGGTGGTTAGTGGGTGGGGGCATAATAAGCGTTTCTGTTTCTAAGTCTTTTGGGTCCGCTCAGCCAAGAAAGGGTCCATTCAGGCCGCTGGAGGGCTTGGGATATTATTTCTATTTCTCACATGATACATTTCTTTTCTTTTCTCTCTCTCTCTCTTTTTTTTCTGTCATTGTTGTTTAGCTGGCCCAGGCAGGGGTCAAACCCTCCAACCTCAGCATATGTGGCTGGTGCTGTAACCACTGTGCTACAGGCACTGAGCCCCACACACTACTTTTCAATGCACCTGCTCCAGTTATCTCATCAGTCTCAGAAGTAACCTCAGCACTTAGAAACTGAGTCCCAAAGACATGGATTTTTTTTTTTTTTTGACACAGAGTCTCACTTTGTCACCCTCAATAGAATACCATGGTGTCATAGCTCATAGCAACCTCAAACTCTTGGGCTCAAGTGATCCTCCTGCCTCACTTGAGTAGCTAGGACTCCAGGTACCCACCGCAATGCCTGGCTATTTTTTAGAGATGGGGTCTTGCTCTTGCTCAGGCTTGTCTTGAACTCCTGAGCGCAAGAAATCCACCTGCCTGGGCCTTCCAGAGTGCAAAGATTACAGCTGTGAGCCACCACTGCCTGCCCAGGAGTCAATCTTAGAAATAAAAAAACAAAAAACAAAGGCTGAGTGGCCATATCTCAGTGGTTAGGGTGCCAGCCATGTACACCGGGGCTGGTGGATTTAAACCCAGCCTGAGTCTACTAAACAACAATGGCAACTACAAAAATAAAAAAACAACCAGGCATTGTGGTGGGTGCCTGTAGTCCCAGCTACTAAGGAGGATGAGACAAGAGAATCGCTTAAGCCCAGGAATTGGAGGTTGCTGTGAGCTGTGACACCATAGCACTCTACTGAGGGCAACATAGTAAAACTCTGTTTCCAAAAAAAAAAAGATGCCAGGAGATTTGAACACCTAGAAACAATATTTGGCTACTGATTTAAAAGCAGCAATGAAACATTTAAAAACATGCATAAGGCTTGGCACCTGTGGCTTAAGTGGCTAAGGCACCAGCCACATACACCTAAGGTGGTGGGTTCGAATCCAGCCCGGGCCCGCCAAAACAACAATGGCGGCTGCAACCAAAAAATGGCCAGGTGTTGTGGTGGACGCCTGTGGTCCCAGCTACTTGGAAGGCTGAGGCAGGAGACTGGCTTGAGCCCAGGAGTTGGAGGTTGCTGTGAGCTGTGATGCTACAGCACTCTACCCAGGGGGACAGCTTGAG